TGCCAAGAGACTCTACTTTATCATTTTCCTGTCAACTGAAAAGCAGATGTCCTCAGAATAAATAAATATCTGATCACCATTAATATTTTTTAATGAATATTTGTTTTCAGATTACTTTTCTTTTGCTGCCGTGATAGATTTAGTTGTATTTTTGCTTTACCTCCTTACCTGAGGAGACTAGCCCTAAATGTAAAATCTGTAATATCAAAGTACCATAATCTTTAATATATTCAATGTTTCACTGGACAATGAACACTCAGTTTTATTTACTTTATTCCTAAGTAGATCTGTTCAGGTATTTAATAACCAATTCCTATTCAGTGGAAAATAACCTGCCACTATTTACATTGGCCAGTGGATGTCAGTGTTACAGTGCAAATATAACTAAAAATAGCCACGGATAACTTTGAATAATGGTATCAATGAATTAAAGCTAAAAGAAAAAAAGCCTCTTGTTTCTTAATAAGCCATTATTGATGTGAATTGTTACAGCTGGGGATCAAAAAAAAAAAAAAGCAATTAACCTATTCCACCTGTTGGTTGGGATGGGGTTAATTCCTCTGGCTGCTAAATATAAGGGGGAGACAGGCTGTGGCTGAGAGAGTAGCTCTCCCAACCTTCTCCTTATAGCTCCATCATCGTGATGTGACTGGAAGCATTTTTGTCATATGCATCTACTCATGTGATGGGAAACATCTTTTATTCAGAAGCTACATTTACAGTTCAAAAATATGCATTGGATGCTATTATAAACTATTCCATAAATACTGGGCAATGAATTCTTTTGTTAGGGTGCAGTGTACTAAAAAGTAGAATCTACGTGGAGTACCGGGCTCACATGATTCCTTGACATATTTTTGGCTGCCTTTTGTCAATAAACTCCTAATCACAAAATTTATTCATTGTTCACTGTCATTACAACACCAATTAATGGAGGAAAAGTGCCAGTAAAACCTCAGCTCTGGACATGAGGAGAGCAAACTTCAGGCTGCTCAGGGAATTAGTAAGTAAGATCCCCTGGGAAAATGTTTTTGAGGATGCTGGGGTCAATCAGTGCTGGTACTGCAGAGTTGGATAAGAATAATCTTTCTTGCTGTTTGTTTCAGATAAAATGTGAAATAAGAAAACTGAAAGGTATAATAGAAAAGAAAAAATATGACAATGTAGAAGTTTGGCTACCTGGAAAATTTGTATAGGCATATAAATTGGATGCTGCTATGATAATTCTGTTTTTTCTTCTTTGCCTGTTTCTTGAGATTAGTGCTTTCCTTATAGTCTCTTTGCATTACTATCGAAGGGTTTTTTAGCAACAGACATTTCACCCATCTTTTCACTTCTGTATAGGTCTGTTCCAAGGATTCCAGTATACAGCAGGCACAAGAATGAGGAACTCCTTAGAGTTCTAGTTTGGCATTTGACCCAAATATTTTACAACAAAATCGAGCTTCTTTACTGAGGGAAATTAAATTTTAGTAAACATATGAATTGTAAGTTACTTTCTGTTTCTCATGTTAGCTGGGTAAATTAATGCCCAAACTGCAAAAGTAAGTCTATTCAGGGAAATTATCAGGATACAAACGTGATCTACACAGGAGTATGGATACAATTGCAGTGAGCTACAGAATTGAATCCCAAACACTTTATATCAGTCAGAAAACACAGTCAGTTCCATGGATATAAGAACATTCTATCAAGAGAAAATGTCTCTTAAACTACCATAGAAATGAAATATTAAAATATGGAAATCAGTGAGACTTCAAGAGTTAGTATCTTAGCAACACTAAGTAAAATCTTTGTAAAAAAGTTCAATTTTTAAATTCATCTATTACACTTTAGCATGCTTCATAATCTGCTTTCTAGACCTTCTCCATAGTGACTGACAGCTTCAGGAGAGATGAAGGGCCTCCTCATTGTGCTAGTGTCTGCGGCAAAATTCTCACTGTTTTCAGTAAGATCAGAACATTTGCAATCAATTTTACTGCAAATATTGAACAAGATGAATTTTGCATTTCAGAGCTTTAAATAGTACAGAACAGCTCTTCCTGAAAGAGAGGGACTCAACAATTCTGTAAATCTTGATTTTTCATACTATTTAAATATAGTACATAAAATCTGATAGAGAATAAATAATTTTGGGTGCTGCTGTAAACATTTAATGCCCTTACTCAGACAACATTTTAGACTAAAAAATCACTCAGTTTCAAAAATTTTCTTGCAAATTGATTAGAAATTGTATTTTGCAAAAATTTTAGAAATGTTTGAGAAGGGACATTTAATATCATCTCGCTGTTTTGCGCTTTGACAAGCTGCAGAAGCACACATGCAACAACATTTGTCATTGCAGATATGAAAAAATTAACTCAACTTTAGAGTTTATTTTCATTAAAATTCAAAATTGTGTGTCTGCCTGCGGGTTTGAATTTATCTGGTTCCAACTCCCTTGCATGTGCTTTTTATTACACCCTTTATATTAACCATTGCAGGTTCAACCTCCTGTTTGGGAGCTTTACCACTGCCATCACCAGACTGGGTCAGACACAGCTTAGTCAAGGCAAATTATGAAAACCTTCAAGGGCAGATATTTCACCTCTTTATGAGTAACATGTTCTGTTTCTATATTACCAACGCTGTAAAAACTTATTCTTAGTGCTCAATCTGAACCTCCCATGCCATCATGTGTGGCTATTGTCACTAATCAGATCATTTACCACTAAAAAGAGTTTAGCACTGTAATCTTTGCAAGTGACTTTCACGTAATTGTAGGCTGTTGGAACTCCTTAGTTTATTTTTCAGATTAAATAAACCCAGTTTCTTCAACTTCTCACAGTTTATATATTGTAGACCCTTGACCTTCTTGGGCAGCTCTTTTATGGAACTTTTCCAGTTTTCTAACACCTTTCCTGAATTGAGTGGATGTGAAGTGGGAAAGCTAGACACAAAATTGCAGGTGCAGCTACAGTCATGCCAAGTAAATGGGATGAATAACCCTTTGATCCGCTGGATACACTTCTCCTAAGGTTTCTTTATTTGTGATGCAAGTGCACAGTTGGCTGGTGTTCAAGCTGGTGCTTCCCACAACCTTCAGGTCCTTTCCACTAGAGCTGCTGCTCAGCCTGAATTGATGTATGGGGATTTTCCAGGTGCAAAACTTTGCACTCACTGAACCTCATGAGTTTCTTTTGGAGTAAGTTTAGTTTCCTTTCTGGACAATAGCTAACAGCTGGCTATAGTTAACTTTTGAGGTGGCTATATTTCTTGAGGAAATAGTTGGCATAAAACACATCACAGACTAATTAGATTTTAATTTAAGGTTCTATTTCTTGTGACTTCTGAAAAGCACTATGGAAGAAGAGAATTTAATTTGAAACATATCTCTCTCATAGCTTGTTCTAGTGGCAAAACAACCCAGTCCTCCTGTTCTTGTCATTCAGAATTTTTACCCATCTCAAGCAATACAGATATGCATTGAGCTACATATGTTATGAAGCAAGACCAAAACAGCAAATCTTATTTTCTAATCTCTTCTGAAAAAGACTATATCTCATTAAAAAGGCATGTCTACCTATCAAAGAGAATTAACCCTAATGTCAAAACTAAATACCTAAAACCTAAGTAAAAACTCAGCAAGATCAACCTTAAGCTTTTTAGTTGTTATTTTGGTTAATTTGTAGAGATAGAAGATTTTGGTCTAGTTCTGACCTCTAGATCTCTTCAGAGTTTTCATATTTTAGAAAAGATTTATAAAATCTTAACAGAGATAAATGTAAGACTTAGCTTAATAGAACTAATTATTTCAAAAGATAGGGTATTCATTAGCCAGTGTGTGTGATGGCAGATTTTTATTTCAATAAGCTTCAGAGCCAGTGTAGCCTGTGCATATGAAGCCTAGGAATGTATGCATTTCCTACATATTTTAGCCATCAATTCTTAATTGTTCTGTTATGTGCACTCTAAAAGTACCTTTGAACTGGACCAATCTCTCCTTATTTACCAAAGAATTATCTTTCCAGGTCCTCATATTTTACAATTATCCAGCTTAGTCAGTTGACAGTGTGAAGGATTTAATTTAAAACACCTTTGTAGAGATATTTTCTTTCTTTTCTTTGCAGACCTTACCTCCAGCTGTCGTATTTGTAGTTTCATGCATACGTGCCATTTACTGTTAAAAATAGAGCTTTGTTATTAAAAAAACAAGTAGAAAAATCTTATGGTCTCAGAATTTAATTCTTCTGCAGGGTTTCTGAGCACTGCCTTACCCTGGCTTTCTCTTCCCATCATTCTGTGCATTAATAGTGTCAGTTAAATCTGCTTGAACGCAGGAGTTCCATAACTCTTCATGAAGGATTGTGGACCAGAAATTGGAAGGACAGCCATGAGCACCAGGCAGCTGACAGCCTCTTTTCCGAGATGAGTGTGATAATCTCTTCCAGCTGTAATTTTACTTATCAGCACCTTTTCTTCCTCTCTGCATTTTGTAGATCATTATCATCGGAGAGCCGGTAATAGCCCTCTTTTGTTTTGCTCTGGTAAGAGAAGGAGCATAATGTATGCTGCTCTTCCACTTCACCTGCAAGCCAAAAGGTATCAGCCAAGGTTTCTCAAAGAAATAAATCTGACCTAGAACATGACAAAGGTTTAGACCATTACAGTGGAAGAACTACACTTGTTGTTTGCAGACTGCTTATGATTATTAACTACCAAGTTTATAGTTTTTATTATACTCTCTTTTTTTTCCCCCAGTGACTCTCAGCTGTAGGGTACAGATTCGGTTTTAATGCTTATGAGTCTGTTCTAATGTCTACAGTAAAGCTTGAAAGTAAACAAGGACTTAATTCTACCTCTTCTATTGCCTTGCTTCTACTTTGCCAGCACCTGTTGATCAAGAAGAGTCAGCCTGGCTGACTTATTCTGCCATGCAACATCTATAGTGCTGTCTCTCAGCAGGAAAGAGCTGTTCCCAGCAGTTTTCCTGAAATTGCAGGAGTGCAGAGGAATGCCTCATCTATTATCTCCAGTGTGCAGAGCCACCGGAGAATGACAAATGAGTAGGATACACAGCACTATAGCTTCTGCATCTTTTCCTAAACTAACGGACAACAACCCTTCTGCAAATGTCCCAAACAAACCCCAAATTTGGTCAGCTACCCCTGAGGAGGTAAGTTTATTTTTTTTCCCTTATGGTATCAATGGGATGTGTCAGCTGCATGTTATGTAAGAGCAGTGTCTGTTATACTCTAGAGAAAAGTGCTGGAGAATAGTTCCCCAGTTAGGATGCAATTTTTATTTTGCCTGTCTATCTGTAAGAGTCCATGCATGGATGCATTGGTTTACACATGGTTGTTTAATATTTTTTCGTAGGGGAAAATCATTCTTATATTGGAACAAAAAGTGTATATCCATCCTGGTTGTTTAACTACATTGATATAAACTAAGTAGCACAACTTTATAGCACAGACCGGCCTGTAGTAAGGGACGGCAATTATGTAATTTTTTTGGGCAGATGGTGTACTACAAGCCCAATCAGCTGTGGGAAAGGTCTGCCTTTTTACTGTCAGAGGAAATCTCTTGCACATCAAGCACACAAAGGAAGCCACAAACTTTGAAGGAATGCTGTAATCTCTGCTAACAGCACAGGTTACAATAGGTGATTGAATTAACTTCTGTTAAGTAAATAATGTGTGTATCCCTAAATGGAGGAGATGGATCCTGTGAGATGCAGGCTGGACTGAATGAATATAGGAGAATCAAAAAAAATAGAATATTGCAGTGGAAAAGTTAAACCAAAAACATTTTACAGGAATTAAATTATACTATAATAAAACTTACTCTCAGAACTCAGAGATTAATGTGAGCAGAGAGAGACAAGGAAAGAAATAAAAACCTTTAAAGTTTGAATTGCCTATCGTCCAGAATGAGGCTCTGGGCATACATTGTGGAGAAAGGGGAAATTGTAATATACAAGTAGCGTAGAAACGGGCCACATCGGGCTTCAACGTGCAATTTAGTGTCTTTTTGTAAAAAGCTATCTCCAGCAAGATCGAGGCTGTAAGTTTTCTAAAATGCATTAAAGAAAAAGAAAAAAGAAAAAAAGCTGGTAACGCGACTCGGGGGGCCGCGGTGCTACGAGGGGGGTGGGGGCCACCCAGTACAAACTTTAATCACAAACGCCGAGACGTCAACGCATCTGTTACATTTTTACTCCGCTGCCCTTCACCTCGGCGGGAACACCTGCCGTCCCCTGAAGGGGGACGAGGGTACCGGGAGGCAGCGGGAACACCTGGCGTCCGCTGAAGGGAGACGAGGGTACCGGGAGGCAGCGGGAACCCCCCGCATCCCGCTCGCTGCCCCGCCGCAGGGCGCACACGGCCATTCCCGCGGACCGGCTCCCCTGCCCCGGGCAGCGGGCGGAGGGGCCGCCGCCGGCTCCGCGCCCGCCCCTCGCCGCCTCGGGCCCCGCGTCGCCGCCGCC